GCCTTCCCTCTGAGGTTCAACAGTCTGTTCATGTTTCTATGTCTCTGGGTCTATTTTTGACCATCAGTTTATTTGGTTCATTAGATTCCACATATGAATGAGATCATGTGATACTTATCTTTTTCTGACTGGCTTATTTGGCTCAGCATAATGCTCTCTAGGTCCATCATGCTGTTGCAAATGGTAAGAGTTCTTTTGTTTTTATTGCCACGTACTATTCCATTGTGTAAATGTACCAGTTTTTTATCCACTCATCTGCTGATGGGCATGTAGGCTATTCCCAAATCTTAGCTATTGTAAATTACAGTGCTATGAACATAGGGCTGCATATATTCTTTCTGATGAGTGTTTCGGGGTTCTTAGCATATATTCCTAGAAGTGGGATCACTGGGTCAAATGGGAGTTGCATTTTTAATTTTTTGAGGAAACTCCATACTGTTTTCCACAGTGGCTGCACCAGTCTGCATTCCCACCAGCAGTGTACTAGGGTTCCCTTTTCTTCACAACCTCACCAACACTTGTCTTTTGTTGATTTGTTCATGATAGCCATTCTGATAAGTGTGAGGTGATATCTCATGGTCATTTTGATCTGCATCTCTTGCATGATTAGTGACTGAACATTTTTTCATATGTCTCTTGGCTTTCTGTATGTTCACTTTGGAAAAGTTTCTATTTAGGTCATTTGCCCATTTTCTAATTGGATTGTTTGTCTTCCTTTTGTTAAGTTGTATGAGTTCCCTATATATTTTGGAAATTAACCCCTTATTGGATGTATCATTGGAAAATATGTTCTCCCATGTAGTGGGCTCTCTTGTTATTTTGTTGATGGTTTCTTTTGCAGTACAGAAGCTTTTATTTTAATGTAGTCCCATTTATTTATTTTCTCCTTAGTTTCCATCATTCTAGGGGATGTATTGGTAAACATATTGCTAGAGAGATGTCTGAGCTTTTGGTGTCTATAGTTTCTTCTAAGATTTTTATGGTTTCTCATCTTACATTTAAGTCTTTTATCAATTTTGAGTTTATTATTTTGTATGGTATAAGTTGGTGGTCTAGTTTCATTTTTTTTTGCATGTACCTGTCCAATTTTCCCAACACCATTTATTGAAGAGACTGACTCTACTCCAATGTATGCTCTTGCCTGCTTTGTCAAATATTAATTGAGCATAGTGGCTTGGGTCGATTTCTGGGTTCTCTATTCTGTTCCATTGACCTATATGCCTGTTCTTGTGACTGTTTTGAGCATAGTGGCTTTGCAGTATAACTTGATATCTGGTATTGTGATTCCTTCAATTTGTTCTTCTTTTGCAAGATTGCTGCAGCTGTTCAGGGTCTTTTTTGGTTTTATATAAATTTTTGGAGTGTTTGTTCTAGGTCTGTGAAAAAAGCCATTGGTATTTTAATAGGGATTGCATTGAATCTGTAGATTGCTTTGGGTAGTATGGACATTTTAATGATGATGATTCTACCAATCCATGGACATGATATATTCTTCCACTTGTTTATATCTTCCTCTATCTCTTTTTTCAAGGTCCTGTAGTTTTTGGAGTACAGGTCTTTTATCTCTTTGGTTAAGTTTATTGCTAAGTATCTTAATTTTTTGTTGCAATGGTAAATGGGATTTTTTTTTTTTAGTTTCTCTTTCTGAGAGTTCACTATTGGTGCATAAAAATGCTATGAATTTTTGAGTGTTAATTTTGTATCCTGCTATGTTTCTGAATTTATTTATTAAATCTAGTAGTTTTGATGTAGTCTTTAGAGTTTTCATTGTACAATATCATGTCATCTGTGAATAAAGAGACTTTTACTTCTTCTTTTCCATTTTGGGTGCCTTTTATTTTTTCTTCTTGTCTGATTGCTATGGTCAGGACTTCCAGTTCTATGTTGAGAAAGAGTGGTGAAAGTGGTCATCCCTGTATTATTCCTGTTCTTAGAGGAAATAGTTTTAGTTTTTGCCCATTGAGTATGATGTGGGCTGTAGGTTTGTCATGCATGGCCTTTATTATGTTGAGGTATGATCTCTCTATTCCCACTTTGCTGAGAATTTTTATCAAAAAAGGTTGTTGGATTTTGTCGAATGCTTTTTCTGTATCAATTGTTATGATCATGTGATTTTTGTCTTGCAATCTGTTTATGTGCTGTATCACATTTATTTATTTGTGAATATTGTACCAGCCTTGCATCCCCAGAATAAATCCCAGTTGGTCATGCATGATGTACGATCTTTTTAATGTATTGCTAGATCAAATTTGCTAAAATTTTGTTGAGGATTTTAGCATCTATGCTCATCAGGGGTATTGGCCTGTTATTTGTCATATCTTTATCTGGTTTTGGAATTAGGGTAATTCTGGACTCATAAGAAGAGATTGGAAGTGTTCCTTCCTCTTGAATTTTTTAAAATAGTTTGAGGAGAATAGGTGTTGGTGCTTCTTTGAATATTTGGTAGAACTCCCCTGTGAACTGAGTACATAAATTAAGGGACATCTTTGGTAGGAAACACACTACTAGCCTATTAATTCAGGTGCTTGATGAAAGAATGTGTCTTTGTATTCTAAAATTTAAAACACAATATGACAAGACAGCACCTGCCACTCCAAATCACAATGTGTCTACATTAATAAACACCATTTGTGATGCTGCTGGAAGAAATTCAAGAAATATGAAATCCCAGAAGAAGAAGAGGTTTACATTTTAGAAATGATCCTACAGCTTTTCTGCTCAGAAGACCATTATGTCTTCAACAAAGGCAATGACACTGAAGATAAATGATCTCACTGTTGTGGAAAACACATATCTTCCCTTCAAATGTGGTAATTTTAATGTTTATTTTTTCTAGACAACTACATAATAAATCTGTCTTGTTTCCGTCTCATATTCCAGTATTATAAATATGACGTTTTCACAAATAGACATTCATAAAAGTCAGCAAAGCATTGCTTAGAAATTCATACATTTACAATACCTGCGACCAGTTGTGACTACATAGTGTCGCACCAAGAAAAACTCTGTTTCAAAGTTATAATCTGAATCCCTTTTTATAGCCTGACACAGTACAAATATATGCTGCTGGTCACAAAGGGAGGCTAGATGAGAGAGGATGGAAAAATATCTCAAGTAACCAGGCTGATTAAGAGGGAATTCTAATGATATTAGAAAATAAAGGGCACACCACACAAACTATGTGACATTCAGAGGTTTACTAGAGTAACTATAAAACTTCTTGAATGTCCTATAAGGAAGCAGGAGCATTTACTGCTGTGAATTTAGCTTTTTAAAAAAAGTGTAACTTTTATCCCAATTGTACTCATCCAATGGAACTTGTTCATCTTAGCTGCATCCTGGATATGTTCATGGCAGTTGACTCAAATGGCCCTTCAGGGATTTAAGTAGCATTTCCCCAATTACATTAATCTTTGGTGAAAATGAAAATATTTGCATTTTCTATGCAAGATACTGTAGTTCTTGGTGAAATTATATAAAACTTCTCTTCCTTCCTACCTTGTTAAGACTGGTTTGAATGGGGGGAGGTTGAAGGGAGACAGGTAAGCAGAAGAAAACTAGGTCAACTTTGCTTCTCACCACATCTTCATTATTAATTCAACTACAGATGTTCTTTCCCTCCTCTCTATTCCACAGACAGCCAGCACCATGAGCCAATGCCACCCCCTCACCGCCTCCTGCTCCCATCAGGCCAACCAAGTGAATAAACCCAGGGAAACAGAAGGAAGGTCTTTTAGGACAAGCTGCATTCACTATCTAGAAGTAGCATTGAAATGTGCAAATTGTTTTCTCAAGGAATAGATGCAGAGAGGAAACCTTCATTGTTAAAATTCTGCCCCATTGCTGATCAGAGTATTAAATATGGTATTGTTGCATCCTTTAAGCTTTCTACTATAGTTGTTACCCTGTCTGCTCTCATGGATCTTGGGACAAAATACACCAAAAATATAATAAATCACCAGGCATAGCTGTTTATTCCTGTCTATGCCTCATACTTATTGTGTAACATTTAATATATCGATAACCTGCTGAGTGCTTGTGTCTTCATCTCAAAGTGCAATTAACAAGTCCACCCTTTTACCTTTCTCCAAGGATGTGGTAAGGCTGAATACTTTTCCTAAGCTATTTCATAAAACAAATTGAAGAGAAAAAATTTCTGAGGTAAGAGTAAGAAAATACTCAATGAAATCAGAATGGTGATGTATTTGAGGCTTGTATGCAGATAGCCTGTGGAAAAGTAAGGTGAGATGCCTCAAATCTGCCAAATTGAAACAGTAAGTTAAAGAATGTTAATTCTTAGTAAAAGGAATAAAAAGCCATGAAACATCCAATTTGATGATGATTAGCCTAACGCAGTCTATTATTGGTTAACAGGGTAGGGAGAAGATGTAGTCCTAGTTGAATAGTCTGAAGTCCTCCCTTTTGAATGTTCAGACTGAGTCCTCCGTAGGTGTGAGTGCAGCTACTTCCAGGGACTGTGGGCTGGGTACAGCCCCTGGGGACCCGGCACAGCCCTTGGGCACTCTGCACTCTGACCGCAGCTTTCCTTCTGTGTTTGTTCCCTGGCAGAGCTCTCAGCATGGCGGTTCCTCTACTTCACTTGCGTCCACCAAAGTATGCAGCTCGATGGATGAGAATGATGGATCCGGAGAAGGTGGTGAGCTTGGGACTTGGTGTCTGAGGAAAAGGCTCGGCTTGGACAGGGGGTGGAGGAAAGGTTGGCTAAATTTACTCCAGAAACTGTAACTTCTCAAGCAGAATGAAATGGGCAAGCCTGAAGCAGCTCATAAGGGTCAATAGCAAGGGGATAGAATTGAGTATGACTCCCACTTGGGATCATATCTACTCTGTGGGAACAGGAAGAGGAAGTCAACCTAATTTGGAATGTTTCATGTCCTCTGAGTCTGTAAGTATCCTAAGAAGGCCAGCTTTGGAAATAAATGGGGGTAAATTTTTGCTTTTGTTTTTCTGAATTCTTTTCAATTTTAGTATACTCTCTCTTTGTTAAAAATTTATATTTATTGTTGAAAGTATTACAGATGTCCCCTTTTAGATCCCATTGACCCCCTCCACCCACCACTCTCCCCCCCAACCAGGTCTACTATACTATTGTCTATGTCCATGGGCTATGCATATATGCATAATAAGTTATTTGGTTAACCTCTTCCCACCCCTCACCCCGGCCCCTCTTCTCTTTGAGATTCATCAGTCTATTCCATGTTTCCATGCCTCTGGATCTATTTTGTTTGTCAGGTTATGGTGTTCATTAGATTCCACAGCCCCTGGGGACTAGGCACTCGGCACTCACTTATCATATAAGTGAGATTGTATGATACTTGTCTTCCTCTGACTGGCTTATTTCACTTAACATAATATTATTCAGGTCCCTCCATTTTGTCTCAAAGGGTAAGAGATCCTTCTTTTTTTACAGTATACTCTCTTGATTGACTGTTATAGCCCTGCTTACAAAAAGAATTAATTGATGATAATTGCAAAAATACTCTTTGTGCCTTGACCTAATTCACTTTAGAATTTTTCTGTGATGTGGTCAAATGACCTGGATCCAGAACTGACTTTTTCACCAATTCACTGGATTGTTTTGGGTAAGCTTTTTTAACTCTCCATATCTTAGTTCCTCCTCTGTAAAATAAAGATTATAATACACTCCTGTTTCCTTCCTTGGGTTAACAGGCTCAAATCAATTATGAGAAGGTATTCAGAAAAGTATGAAACTGATATGATCAAATTACTGTTAAAGAATAAACCCCCTTTATTTGTTTATTTGTATTTTTATTTATTTGTTACATGTATATATTTTTTATTATTTTTTTTTACTGGGAATATATTCTAAGAATCCTGAAATGCCAATTAGAAAGAATATATGCACTCTTATGTTCATAACAACAGTGTTTACAATAGCTAAGATCTGGAAACAGCCCAAGTGCCCATCATGAGTGGATTTAAAAAGCTGTTGTACATTTACACAATGGAATACTATGCAACTGTAAAAGAGAAGGATCTATTACTCTTTGAGACAGCATGGAGGGACCTGGAGAGTATTATGCTAAGTGAAATAACCTGGTAAGAGAAAGACAAGTATCACATAATCTCACTTACATGTGAAATCTAATGAACAAAATAAACTGATGAATAAAATAGAACCAGAGGAATTGAAACATGGAACAGACTGACAAATCTCAGGGGGAAGGAAATTAGGGGGAGGGAGAGCAGGAAGAAATTAACCAAAGAACTTATATGCATATAAGCATTGTCCATGGACACAGATAATAGGGTGGTGAAGGTCTGGGGTGGGGCAGGAGCCAGGTGGAGGGAGGCTAAAGGAGGAAAATAAGGGATATCTCTAATATTATAAACAATAAAAATAAACTTAAAAATAAAATAAAATTCATGAACTCTTATTTGTTTTAAATTATATTACTTAATTTTCCCAAAAGAGTACCTTTGGGCAGTAGGGGGTGGGAGCACTTTAATTATATTAAGTGAGATAGCAGGTTTACACAAGAATTATTTCTCAACTACCATGAAATATCAGACTTTTTTCCCCAGAAGTATGAAATTTAGCCATTCAGAAGTCTCTTTTGTTCCAATGTGTTATATTTACTTAAAGGTCCTTGACTAAGCCTTTGGCTAAGTCTTCTTAGCCAAAAGACTAACATATACCTTTTACCAATAGTCAGGGGAAAAATATCCCAAACTTTGTGCTCCAGATGGGTGCCTAAGTGATGCTCCCACTAAGGGAAGGACAGAAGTACCTTGGATTCCCCATCCAACAGCCAAAGATATTTACTTTTATTACTCGTGTAGTAAAGAGCCTTAAAACCATGTCATCTGAGGGATGTTTTGTAAATTAAGATACTTTGTAGTGGATTTGAAACTTCTCCAACCATCTCCTCTAATTCCTATGGAGTAGATTAAAAACAAAACAAAGCAAAACAAAAACAAACAAACAAACACCAACACCCAGGCTGAGTCTTTTAAACAAAGACAAAATTGTTGACTTCTTTGTGGGTGATATGATAGGTGTGAGGGGCTTAACTGGCTCTGGCTTTCACTTTATTCTAGAAGCCACTGTGATAGCTTCTAGTGGATTAAGTAAAATGTCACTTATAAAGAGGTGAAGAGACTGCAGAAATAAATGCGCAGGATAGAAGTAGTAGAAGCACATGTCCTCCATTTGTACAACATTCTCCAGAAATTCCATCCACCCTAGAATCCAGGGTAGTGCAGATTGAGTTTACCACAAAACCAGAATAAAGGTCTAATAATTTTGAGTTTCCATTTGTTGTTCCCTAACATTACAGATTAAGTGAGAACATAAAACTCAAGAAAGCCCATTTACCACCTAATGTTTTAATTTTATTTTAAGAAGAAATGTTTAGCCTCAGTTTAAATAGGAGCACATTTAGAAAGCACACTAGGCTTCCATCACATTTTGTATTCAGGTTGCCTGAGGGGAGCTTGGATTTATAACTTTAAAGCATGTAAATTTTAGAGCCCAGTTATAAAAGACTTTTTACACCCCTAAGATGTTAAAGGTTATCCAGCATATTTATGTGACCTAAATGTGGCTTATTTAGTTTTATGGCCTTAGATATTTAAAGCATTATTAGGCATTTGTAAAATATTTCAAAATACATTTTAAGAGGGAAAATGTGTTGTGTTAGTGGCACTAACATAATTGAAACTACAAAACTTTTCTGTTCACAGACGTAATAGGTATTGCGATTTTAACTCAACATCTGCTATGCAGGTTGCTGGTGAGAACTATGTCTAAAATCTGCTCACTGATATGGTGGAGGGGTGGCAATCAGGGCTGAGCTCATATGGAATTTTACGGAGATCTCCACTTCAGGATGTAGTAATGATAAGTGTGCACATAGAAGGCATTTTCATGTACAATGTCAGGCAGCCCAGAGTCCCTTATGAACTAACTGCATTTTCCTCTTCAGCCATACTTAGAAAGGTAATTTCTCTGCACACAGTGGGTATGCAGTCAATGCTATTGATCAAATTGACATAAAATAAAAAGAGTAAAATTTCCTCTTCAGAAGCCCAACTGCAGCAGAAAGCATAAGTTGCTCTTACATATGTGGGAGTGGACCGCATACATTTATGTTTCCTTTTTGTTTACCATTTGTAAACTTAGTAAAACTGTTGACTATACAATGTCAGCAGAGGGGGCTGCCCTCATAGTCCAAAAAATGACCTATTGATTCTGAATCAGTTTCAGTCTATTAGATGATACTTCTAAATGTCTCCTTTGTGCAACATCTGTGTTCTCTTTTCTACCAATAAAAACATACTAATGATTCTTTCAGAAGTGTCGGAGGAAGGCTTCCAGATTCCAGCCACAATAACGGAACGATATAAAGTTGGAAGGACAATAGGAGATGGAAATTTTGCTGTTGTCAAGGAATGTGTAGAAAGGTGAGGAAGAGATAATTTGCATCCAACATTAAAGGAAACATTTGGCATTGTATTTTCCAAAATTGTGCCTTTATTTGCAGTCTGTGGCACATATGGACTTGGTTAATGCTTCAACTTCAGATGTAAAAAAAAAAATTAAAGAAAGAAAGCCCATCTAACAACAGATTTGAGAAGTGTAGTGATTCCTGGAGATAATCTATAAATTAAGGACTTTTATTTTTCTTTTTAATATACTCAGCAAAACTTTGCCAGTTTTTTCAGGTAAGTCCTGAAAATATATTAAATATATATACACATTGAATAGTTTTTCTACACTTTTTTAAATCCTCACCTGAGGATATGCCTTATGACTTTTTAGAGAGATAGGAAGGGAGAAAATTCAAGAGAGAGAAAGAAACATCAACGTGAGAGAGAAACATCCATCAGTTGCCTCCTGTACATACCCCTACAGGAAATCGAACCCACAACCTTTTGGTATATGGGATGACACTCCAACCAACTGAGCCACTTGGCCAGGGTTACACTTTTTTTTGAGACATTTTATAGAGGTCAGTTGTTCTTGTAAGTATATTGTACAATCATAAGATTAAATATAATAACCTTGTAAAGCTTTAAAATGTATATGTACTGATCCCAGCAAAATGGTATTTAGTGAATTAAAATGTTTTATAGCGAATGAGCCAGGTACTCTTGTGAGCAAAGGGAAAAGTTTAGGGTGAAAGATTTATCTGTGGGATCTCAATACCTAATCAAGGACAGTAGTTGGTGGCTACTAGATGGGGAAGTGACAACTAATAAAGCTATAGCCCAATTAAGGTGGCCTCAAACTCTAAGCTCAGCATGAGATTGGAATTTGTTGCTTACTTGAAGCCAGCAGCTTCTTTTCAGAGCTGGGTGAGTTGAGTGTTGAAATGTCAGGGGGAATTGCCTTATTCCTAGAGACAGCAAGTCCGTTGGCTTCTTTGGGCTCACCTGGGTGTGCAGGTTTCCCCTGTTATTCATCTCTCCCCCTCCCTCCTCCCCCGCCCCTTGGGGCTGGACACCCAACTAGTTCTTCAGCACTGTGTGAGAACAATGCTCCTTCATGCTGCATTCCCTTTCAGAGAGAACACCTTGGACTAGAAGCTTTAGCCTATAAGAGCCAGAACTTGGTCTTCTTCCAAGGGCTCTGACTTAGAAGCACATTAAAGCTGGAAGTCTACGCAGGGCCTCACACACCAGCAGCATCCTTAATTTGAGCAATAGCCACTGATTTTATCTGTGAACGCTTTGCTATTCTTTGGAAAATGCTTCTTTGACTAAGGCAGTGGTGCCCTCATGAAGCTACCCTCCAACAGTGGATCTTAAACTTTGCTCCACTCTACACACCAACTGGGCCAAGATTTTTCCAACAGTTACAGTACACACTAGAGCAGCCACTCTTTGTGAGGGAGGACATGAATAATAATTAGTAGCTTAGAAAATCCCTGAGTTGCTACTGCAAGGTCACTTTTTCTCCTTTTTTTCTCTCATTCTCCCATCCTCAACATAAAGCCATTGTTGGGTTTCTGCCAAATATAGAAAATGTCCCATTACTTTCCTGGGCCCCACACATTAAAAAAAAAACAGGAGTAACCACTGTTTATTGAACAAAAACCATGTACAAGGCCCTTAACTTATGATATTTCATTTAATTATCATAATTTCACAGTATCAGTATTGTTTCTATTTTATACAAAGAAAGCCTGGAGAAGTTATATGCCCAAGATCACTTATCTAGTAAGTACTTAGCAAGGCATAAATCTGAACCCAGCTCTGAAACCCCTACTTTTGACCACTCTACTCCACTGCTTCCATCCAGGGGGCTCCCACAAGAATATGGTTTAGCTGAGCCAAAGTCATACATACTACATTTGTCCTATGCAAAAAGGACAGAAATCAAATCTGGTGAGCCATTCGTAAGGTAATGGATGGATGTGTGTGTGCTTAATAATTTCATGTATACTTTTACTAATTATAAAACTCTTATTTCCACTGTAGCAGAAAATCCCATTGTTAGCAGATTGCCATACCCTTCAACTATGGAGTGTCTGGTTATTTGCCAGGGTTCATCATTTGTTGTGGCCATGTGTTTTTTGTCCTAGATGGTACATGGATCAGGATGGCATCTTAGCTTAACAGTACTGGTCTTCCCACAGTAGAAATTTCTCATTTTTCCATCTAGAATTCATTTATTTCTTTTTAGTTTGAATTGTTTATTTTGCATAAGTTCACATCTTGGGTCTCATTGTGTGAACCTTCAAAGTCTAAACACCAGATTACCCCAAAAAGTGTTAGTATTCCTCTCCAGTGAATGAGGACATGTAGCATGTGCCCTCTCTCCCCAGATGTATCATGAAACATTTTTAAAAATACTTCCCAAAGGTCTAAGAAAATAAAAGCAAGCTAAGGCACAGATTGCTTGCGGGTACATTCTGCCATATTGTATTAACAAGAACCAGTATGTCTCTCTTCTGTTAATAATATGTGGTCACAGGGAAGATTTTCCTACAACAATGGATGCAATAACAGTGCCACACTGTCCTTTATTTCCACAATCCCATGCCAGCATGTCTTTTGATAGTGCCTGCCAGGTCCACCTAGGTTTCTGCCTATTCTCCAGTAGCAGTTTCTCCAAGTGACCGCAGGACATGCTAAAAGAGTTGGTGGATTGAGAGGTGCTTTATTCTGAAGCTGTTTTCTGAAACATTTTGAAGCCCCAGAGAAAAGTCAAAGAGCTGAAAAGCACTACAAGAGGTCAGAGCACAGGTAGAGGGCTCACAATGAGGTGTCCTCACCTCTGGCTCTCCTGGCCCTGTGTGGACTAATCACCACACAAGTGATGCAGTCATGAGCAGTGATGGTGTCTCAGGTGGCTCTTGGGCCTCTTCCTCACCTGCACTGCATGGATTTTAGTAATGTAGGCCTCAGAACTCTATTAAAATTCTAGCTGCTCATGATTCCTTCTCTTTCCTCTTCACCTATAAGCCTGAAGAACTGCACAACAAAACTATTGGCTTTAGAATGAAAGTGGGCAGGCTCAAACCCACCCAAAAGAACTGAGACTGGAGTTTCACCAAAATGGGTTGCATCCACCTCAAAAATCTTCAGAATGCTCAAGAACTCAAGAACTATATACCTATAATTTGAAGGCATTTCCTGATGAAGTGGGATGGATTGGGAAAATGAGTCAGGGTGAAGAAGCTTATAGTGTTCTTCTTTCTTTCCTGAGGATGCTCTGGCACCCATGTTCACATTCAAAATAAAACTCCACTCTGGAGATTTTAGATCAGGGATGCCTCAGCTCTCTGATCTTGACAGCACCACCCCCCCCCCACACACACACACACACTTATTAAGGAGACTGAGATGTAGCTTTATTATGATTACCTGATAAACAAAGTGTGATGTTTACTAACCCTCTTTGCTAATGGGTCTTCCTGTCATTGTCCTCACTGCCACCATCCTCTGGAGTTTCCACAACTTGATTAACATATCTGGAGCTATTAATTCAGGCCTGTGCTGGGCATTTCTAGGCTCCAAAGAGAGACAAGACAGCCCCTCTCCAGGAGAACCTGCCCCAAAACAAAAACTTACTATGCAATTCAATAAATGCTGGGGTAGAAAAATGATTAAGAAGCTGTTATTAATTTTCCACATATTTTTAAAAACTTTCAAAACACAGCAAACAACAACAAAAAACACATTAGAGCAGGGCAGGCCCATCCTTGTCAGCCCATTCTCCTTTCCTAAGCATTCTTCTGCCCTCTGGGTGAGGAAGGGGGATGGGAGTAGACTGGCTGGAGTTGAGAATCACTAAGTTAAACAAGACAGCTTTCTCCAAGCCATTTTTTAGCACAAACATTAAAAATTAGATTTAGTTCAAGTTGGCAAAATTTGGAAATTTCTTTCCAGTAGTTCAGGCTCTAACCTTTGGTCAAACTGAATAGGAAGGGGACCTTTAAATTGAGTTTCCACAGACCCGGAGGAAAACAAAGTCTGTGCTGAGGCAGGTGCTCCTTTTGCTGTGGCATTCAAGGGTTCTATAATTTCAGAAAAGGTCAAGCATATAATTTCAGGAACAAGCAAGAAAATGGCCTGCATTTTCATCAGAAATGCGGGTATTTAGTATTTTCAATATACCAAACTATAGACTCCTTGGGGACAAGGACCAGGTCTCACTCATCTCTGTAGCCACCAAAGCATCATGCTTATAATTGCTTGCTTAATAATTACATAGGGACATCCTCAGAGTTTAGTGCAGGGGTCCTCAAACTTTTTAAACAGGGGGCCAGTTCACTGTCCCTCAGACCGTTGGAAAGCCGGACTATAGTTTAAAAAAAACTATGAACAAATTCCTATGCACACTGCACATATCTTATTTTGAAGTAAAAAAAAAAAAAAAAACGGGAACAAATACAATATTTGTATTTGCATGTGGCCCGCGGGCCGTAGTTTGAGGACCCCTGGTTTAGTATATGTGGGAAGGCAGATGCTTTATTTAAAGTTTTATGTCTTTACAAGTGTTTTCACTTACCAACTTAAAGCAAGCAGTTAAATTTTTATGCTATACATTTAGTCCTAACACCTTTTTTAGACTCGTTTTCCAGTCTCAGGTACTCTCCTCTAAACATGTACTTTCAGTAATAAGGATTTTACTATGACTTTATAGTTCTTCCCTCAAGGAATCAAGAGAAAAATTTGAAGCTCATTGTCTGATATAAAATACTAGAAGCCTGGTGCATGAGATTAATGCACTCTCAGGGTCCCTCAGCACGGCCTGCGGCCTCTCGGAGTCCAGGAGCCCTCGAGGGATGTCCAACTAAAGTTGGCAGTTGGACATCCTTAGTGCTGCCACCGAGGAGGTGGGAGTGGCTCCTGCTACTGCCGCTGAGCTCGCCAGCCATCAGCCTGGCTTCTGGCTGAGCAGCGCTCCCCCTGTGGGAATGCACTGACCACTAGGGGGCAGCTCCTGCATTGAGCGTCTGCCTCCTGGTGGTCAGTGGGCATCATAGCGACCAGTCGTTCTGCTGTTCAGTTGATTTGCATATTAGACTTTTATTATATAGGATGGGTAAATCTAATTGAGTGTTTAATCCTATTGTGTGAGATTCTGTGTAGTGAACCCATAAGGTCCTTTTTCCTATTAAACCCTGGGACCACTATATCCTAGGCTTGTACGCATTTCCCACACAGCTGTAGGCTCAGACATAACTGGAGTGCTTGGAGTCCTGGGAGGGAATACACCAGCTTCCTCCCTGGGGATCCTGCTCTTTGCATTTCTGGCGATAGAAGAGATTCAGTCTTCCTGGATCCCATACCAGCCCTTTGCTTTGAGAACTTTAATGTTCCTCATTCCAGGAAAATAGAGGATGAAATGGCAAAGATAGTGAAATCCCCCCTCCTCACCAGCACTGTTCTGTCCATCCATCCACTTTGTAGAGGCACTGAATGGGAATGGAAGTGTCAGTTCCAGCCTCCCTTTCTTGGACTGCTGGCTTTTATTAAAGCAGTCAGTTCCAAGAGTCCAGACTTGTCTGCCATCAAATGGAACCTTTTAAACCAGATAAGAAATTGCTCATGGATTCTAATCTCAGATTTGTGTTATCATATTTTTTTAGTGACTCATGAAAAGCAGAATCCAGCAGTACTTCAGCTTTTAGTTTTCCTCTTGATTCAGTTTTCTTAAATTTGCAAACAAAGTCTCCAGAAGCATTGTAAGAGGAGGCTACCTAAAGGGCCCATGATTCTCCTACGATGTGAGGAATCCCTTTGTGTGTGAATCATTTCTCTTTCTCATTTATTGTTTGACCACACATTTGAAATTTCTAACAATAAATCTTTCATTTTCCCTCTTACTGACTGAGGTGCTTTTTCTCCACCCCTACACCATAACCTTGCTGATGTTCTGGTGTTTGTTTGGGGACATCGAACACCTAAGCCTAGCATTTAGCCAAGGCCAGCTCATGCTTTCTCCATATGGCCCCTCTGTCCAGCTGTGGGCCTGAAGAATCAAGAAAGATTGACTCAACATCGACTTTGGGCCTCTTAATCCTTTTATTCATGAGGCTGGAGCAATTTGATTTCCTCTGGACACCCCGCATCTCTGCAGAAGAGCCTCCCTGAGGCAGAGGGGTTTAGCTTCTCACATCTGAACTGAAAAGCCCTCTAGTGGAGAAAATGGGCTTCAAAGTGATTATTTTATTCTGGTTTTATTCACCAGATATAATTACAACAATTTGGTCAATATTTATTGTTTTCTGTAAGTCAGCATTATGCAGGGGACTGGAAGTAGAGTGGAAGTAGCATTTTTAGAAGCAAATGACGAGATTGGTTTCTAAAATGCCCTTGAAACACATTTTTAATGTCTGGCCTCTTAATCTGGTTATAGAAAATCACTCTCTTGCTCTAATCGTATAACTGGGAACGCTTCTCTCCTAACCCCGCCCCCCCTCTTTCATTTTCTGTAATGAAGATTTTAAAACCCTATTTTAAAAGTTTGTTCTTTATCAATCTCACTCACTGTATTCATTTGGATTCCTAAAATTGGCTTTTATCTGAATAGGAAAGGCTAGGCTGTCTTGGTTTCCCACCAGAAATGAAATGGCATTGCTTGTGAAGTAGTGGTTTATTATGGATTATTAAATATGCATTGTGTCCTTTGACAATAAATATGTGTTGTTTTGCACTACAGTATCTTAGTAATGTTAACACAAGTTAGGAAGCTATTTAAAGGTATGGCTAAACCCTCCCTCCCAATCCCATCATGGAACAGGGGCAGTATTGGTTGGGATATATGTGAAGCAGAGACCCCAAAAGCTCAGAGTCCTGCTTTTAACACTGCAATGTAGCTTTGGGAAAGTGAGTTGAACTTCATTTTATTTCTGGGAAATGAGGCAGCCATAAAAGGCCCAGAAGGTTACAGAAAGCTCAGATAACAGTTGTATCCCTTTCTACACCTTGAACATGTTATCCATGAATTCTCTAGCCAACCTTATAGGCTTGTACCCTGAACCAAAGTCTAAAGAGTGTGAACTGTTTCTTTATAGAGTTTTCAGTGTGATCATATGAGCCATACTTCATAGAAAGATAATCTCAAGGGAAACTGAAAAGAGGAAAGGCAGAAACTCACATCTGTTTTACATTCTAATCACATCACTTCAGAGGACTGGGCAGGAGCAGGAGTTATGCAAGCCAGTAGTGATAGTAGTGGTTTCATTACAGGTATGGCCACATGAACAGCTCACAATGTTTCTGTGCTAGCATATTTGTTGTCTTTATGCTCAATCCCTGAAAGTTTAAATATTTATTTTAAATCTCAGAGGGAAGGTAAGGATAGGTGGGTGGGTGGGAAAAGAACCAAAGAACTTATATGCATATATGCTTAACCCATGGTCACAGACAATATGCGTGTGGGCTAGAAGGGGTCAGTGGTGGGGGGGGGATAAATTTGTAATACTTTCAACAATAAAGATAAAATTTTAAAAAGTATAATAAATAAAAAAGGAAAAGAGTCATTCACAAAATATTTATACCATGATTCAAGGTGGATGGGATAAGATATAAATCCTTAACAAGATGATTTAATATATCTGAAATTAAGTTTATTTTTTTTTAAATCTCTCTCTTTGCAGGTCAACTGCTAGGGAGTATGCTCTGAAAATTATCAAGAAAAGCAAATGTCGAGGCAAAGTATGTATAAAGTTTATTCTTATGAAAATACAGGTATTCAGGGGATAGAAAGGAACAAAGCTCAGCTCCTAAATAAACATAAATTCACCCCCATTTGTTGCATTTTGGTGGAATAGAAAGTTATATACTAATTAGATTATAACTTTATTTTATAAATAGTCCTGGAATAAAAGTTAGCTAAAATGGTTTGATGTTATTTTTTTTCTTATCTTTATTTGCTTATTTGTTTACTTTTTCCCATTACTTTTGTGATCTTAATTTTCTTTCTTTCCTTCTACATGAACTTATAGTTATTGTGATGGGTTCTGAAATTACAAGCATCATCTAAAAACCTTCAATATCTTTTGACAATTCTAGGCTATCTGTGTATCAGAATCTAAGATATACTCATTATATTTGACCAAAATACATGTCCCTTGAACTTCATATAGTAGAGTTTTTCTCATGTTGAGTTAGCTTCTCACATGTTTGGATGTGAGTATTGATTAAGATCACTTCTCCTTTGGACAGGAGCACATGATCCAGAGCGAGGTGTCTATCTTAAGAAGAGTGAAGCATCCCAATATTGTTCTTCTGATTGAAGAGATGGATGTGCCAACTGAACTGTATCTTGTTATGGAATTGGTAAAGGTATGTATTTTGGGAAAAGAAATAAACCTGTTTAAGCAATCACACTTTTCTCTATCATACAGTTCTTTATTTCCTCTCATCAATATTCAGCCTCTCATTTCAATACATTAGCATCATGGTTAAGATTATTAATTAGAATTATACCACAAAAGTTCAAATCCCAGACTTTACCTAAATAGTTCCCTGACCTTGGGATACCTCTCTGTGTTTCAGTTCCCTTATATGGAAAATAGTAGTACTTACCTAGGAGTGATATTGTGGGGATAAGAGGAATGGCTCCCACAAGTTTGTGTGACACAGAAAGTATTAGATACCAATATGATCATTGTTGTTATTGTTATAGTAGAAATTGTTCACTTTTCATGAACTACATCCAAATGTGTTACCCATTTCTATAAAAACAAGCTTTAAGCTTTAGTCACCAACATAATGGAAAAATAGCACAGTCCTAACAATAATGTGAATAGTCTACCACCTTTCAGTGAATGTTGCCATCTCATCCTGTCACATAACTATATTTTTATTCTATTAAATCATAGGATATAGAAATGGCTAAATATTGGTAATGATTGCATGTAAATGAAAGATGACTTGCCTATTTCCTCTACTTCCATATGTGAAATTTTTAGTAATTAGACTAAATATTGAATGTTTAGTTTTCATGTAGTTATATTTTTTCTCAAGTTGTATTTTTCTCAAGTCTTTTGTATTGTGTTAACCTAATTGGTGGTGTAAGTAATTTCTACTTTAGTTGTGAAGTGTCGCAAATTAGTCGCACCACCTTCTGCATCAACTGTGTGCACCATCAGAGAGAGCCTAGAATCACACACTGAGCTGGTAGCAGAGATCAGCACTGTGGTATATGGGATTTTCTTTTGTAAAGATTTAAGACAAATAAAGCATTTAATAAACTAACCTGTTAGTATATAAGAAAATGTTCATTCTAGAACCTTTAAATTTTCATTGTTCAAAGTTGCTTTACTTTAGATATATTGGTATTTTTTCAACTTAATAGTTATTTATATTTATAGATGGAGCCTATTTTTTCTATTTCAGGTTAAGATTTGTTTCTTACAGAGGGCTTGTTTGCATTAACACAAGATTATTGTCACATTTGAGGCTGAGGGAGATAAAAATATTAAATGGTTATTCCAACAACTAAAGGTTGATTTCATTTAGCCAGAAGATTTTTGTATTGGCACTGTATAGCCAAATAAAGTTTGGTGGTTACCAACATTGGAAATTATACTTTTTCGAGCACCAGGGATAGTATTTTTATAATGATGTTACTTCTGAGATAAAATAAAAAACTTCACATAATTCCTGTTGCCCCCCTGTGTGCTATTAAAAATTGATCAGCCTGACACTCTCAGGGGCCCCTGTGATCAGCACTGGTGGGGCGTGTGGTGGTGGAGGGTGGCCCAAGTTTGGGGGCTCAAAAGCTCCAAAAACTGTTACTGCATTGCTTCCTGCTTTTCCTTGACCCCAGGACCTTGCTTCTCCCTCTAGGAGTCTAAGGAACCCTCCTGGCCTCCAGCTACTATCTGTCCATCAGGTCCGCATGGGTCCCTGATAACAGCTTCCTGGTTTTCTTTCCCTGTCCACCCAGGGCTTGAGCTTGAGTGGGGGAGGGGATATTTAATTTTATTAACTTCCCTTTCCTCATCCCTGCTTTTCAACCTTCATATCAGTTCCCAGGCTGGACGATTTGGGCAAGACTCATGACTACCCCCATTGCAATTCTATTTTCTGATGCAAGTTTTAGCTAAGGGATTTAGAAGCTTTTTGAGGGGAAGCAGGCTGGCAAAAAGTATAGCTGTATAATAAAAAACCATCAAGTTTCCTGGGAAGGAGGGATTCTAAACTTTCTTCTAACCCCAGTTTCTACCTCCATAGACTAGCCAGGATTTAGCTTCAATGAGAGATCTGGAATGGTCGACATGATTGAAACTACATACCATTACAACCCCCAATAAATTATTTCTCACCCTTTTTTTCCAGCACTTAATTTAGGAGCAAATTTCACTCTACCTTTTTAACTGCCAAGCTCCTTTCCCCTTTGTTCAGTGGAGTTCCTTTTGTCAGTTTCCATCCTCTCTTCATGTCTTTGGTTCTATTTGATGAGCCCTGATGGGAGCAGGATTTGGGTCCCCAGGAGGAGAGCCTTGGGTATCATCTATTTTTCTAGTAATCCTTTGCCTTCTGTCATTTATCAGTCTTTGTCCTGTGCTTTGATGGCCCAGGTTAATTTACATTCCTGGGGCAAAGGGAAGTTGTGTTGTGTTGTGTTGTGTTGTGTTGTGTTGTGTTGTGTTGTGGAAATAAAAAGTTTTATTTTCAAAAATACACAAAAACTCATTGACCTAGTTTTAGGCAACTACAACTAAGTTAAATTTGAAGATGAGACATAAAAGAGGCAAAGGCTTAAGAGCTTAGAACACATTTTATGGGGAAACTTGTTATGTCAATTATATAGTCTGGTGACTATAACTAAGGAGGTCCTTGTGTCCTTAACAGACTTTGTGAACTTTCTCTTGGTGTCCAAGACAGCCTGACAAAGCCAGAGAGTGTCTGTAGAGTGCCATTAGGTCAGACCCTTACATTTGACCTGACCCAGAACTTCTGTGAGGCCAGGTCTGGAGTTAAGGCCAATCCCAGGCTCGACCCCTGAGAAATTTCACTGGGGCCATGCTTCTCAAACTGTAAGAGTCCAGTGGTGTGCTAAAGAGTGATGCAGATATAGGAAAAACCAGGTCTGAATTGCAGAATACAGTGAAATAACAATTATTAAAAGTCAAATTCAGCCCTTGCTGGCTACGGCTCAGTTGGTTGGAGCATTGTCCTATATATCAAAGGTCACGGGCTCAATTCCCAGTCAAAACCTGATGTTTCTCTCTCTCTCTCCCTCTCTCTCTCCTTAACTCTTTCTCTAAAATCAATAAAAAAGCATATCCTTCGGTGAGGATTAAAAAAAATTAAATTAAATTCCCTAATTATTAACAACAGGACTTTACACCATTGCCTGTAGCAGTGTGCATGAGCAAACTGCCTATGTGCACAGAGGAAGGCAAGCCTTGTGGGGAAAGGTGTCCCTGTGACCAGGCCCTAAGAATTCAACAGGAGTTAAAAAGACAAAGGGAGGCCGGCCTCATGGTTCAGTGGTTGAGCTTCAACGTATGAACCAGGAGGTCATGGTTGGATTCCTAATTGAGGCACAAATCAGGGTTGTGGGCTCAATCCCCAGTGGGGGCCATGCAGGAGAGCACTGATCAATAATTCTCTCTCATCATTGATGTTTCTGTCTCTTTCTCCCTCTCCCTTCCTCTCTCTGAAATCAATAAAAAATATATTTATAAAAGAAAAAAAAAGACAAAGGGAGTACAGGGGACATTCCAGGAAGGGAGTTCTAATGAGGACAGTTTTGGAGTACAGAGTGATCTGGGCTTGTTTTGGTGACCAGGGATCATGAATGTCTCTAGGTAGTGACAGGAGATGAGTTTAGATAAGTTAGAATGAAGGTCGGGGCAGTACATGGAGAGCTATGGGAAAGGAATGCTGATTCCTTGAAGAGAGAAAGAAAATCCATATCAATAATCATCTGGGAAGGTGGCAGTTAGTGCACAGGGTTCTTTGGGTACAGAGCCCATGGAGGCAGTGCAGGTTACCTGGCCACATCACAACAACCCAGGGATGAAAAACATTCATTCAGAAGGATGTGAACTAGGCATGCCTTAAAGGAAGGGTTGGTTGGCTTTATTGACTGCTTTGTTGAGGATGAAGAGGAAATGAGATTACAGGATGCCTGGAGCCTGGATAATTAAGAAAAGGGTAGAGTGATTGTGGGTCACCATATACAGCCTCACACATAGACAGCAGTGGAAACCCCGCCTCCTGGAGTGGCATGGAAAAACTTGCAAACCCATTTACAGTAGGCTTGCCTAGAGAGAAACAGGAAGTCCAGAAAGAAAGTGTTCATTTTGAAAAAAAAATGCATGTGTTTCAACACTTTGGGTACTTTTGAGGCTGACTGGACAGTGAGAGCCTCTTGAGTAGAGATTGTACAGGGCAACAACATAAGGCCAGGTCGTATAGAGAGATTTGAAAACTGTTAGGCTATGAGTGCTATATCCTGCTTTTGCTATTTAAAAACAAAAATTAAGTCCCAACCATGCCAGGTAACAGATGAGCACAGTTGGAGACTATGCTCAGCTGTTTGGTGCATTGTATGACGCAAGAAGGATGAAAACACTGCTAGTAAATCAGTTCCACTTTTTCTGACCCGGTTCAAATAAATGGAACTAAAATTGGAGCCTAAAATCATTGTTTTACCAAATAACAATAAATTAACAGGGAACAAGGGAAACAAAAGTTCAGGTGAGTAATGGTCTTAGCAAACTTTCTTTGAAATTTCTCCACCCTCTTTCTTTCTCATTTTTGGGATGACAGTTTCTGGTCCTTTTCTCTGTTTCTTACAAAAAAGGACACCATTAAAAAAGAAAACACTACTCCCACCCCAAGAGAGCTAAATCTAGAGTGAAAGGAATTATGTATGTGTGTGTGTGTGTGTGTGTGTGTGTAATTTTCACAGGGTAGAGGGTGTGGTTTGCAGTATTACCTGTTTCTCATTTGGGGTGGTAGGATTATGAATTTGAACTTCTGCTGGGAGTTGGTATAAGGCAAGTACCACACACCACAAGGACACCCAGATGTCACAAAGCCTCTGCCCTGGAGACCCTGCATTGCCCCTCCATGCTGGCTGAGGCCCATGAAAAGATTGCAATTACACAGGGTTGGGCAAGAGTCCTCACCCTGCTTCTTACTTTGAGCTCTGGAGGAAATGGCTTTTGCAATGGAGAGAGAAATCACCATAAAGTCTCTGGGCTTTTGAAAGGAAAGTGTCAGGGAAAGCCCTGGGAACCCAAAGGTCCTGCATGCGTTCATCACGTTCTTTATAATGTATCAGTCCCTCTTCAGGGCAGCTCCATTGGACCATCTGCTAATGTGCTGCTCTGCCTGCTGCTCTCTTCTCAGGGAGGAGACCTCTTTGATGCCATTACTTCCACAAACAAATACACTGAGCGAGACGCCAGTGGGATGCTGTACAACCTGGCCAGTGCCATCAAATACCTGCATAGCCTGAACATCGTCCACCGTGATATCAAGCCCGAGAACCTGCTGGTAAGAGAAATGCAATTTCAGGGCATCTTGAGTTTCAAGCACTTTTTTTTCTATTTTCTTTTCTCTCTTAAAAAAATACCTTAAAGGCTAGTATTCAGCTGGTTTCAGTAACTATTAGGAAACTAATCTTTTATGTTGATCTATAGCGATTAATGTGCCATTAGGAGCACTCACTATTTGCAAATGAAAACCTGAGGCAGGAGGATGGGAACAGGACTCAGGGAGTCTAGGGACGTGGGCTAGTCTAGGATAGTGAGAGGAGCATTTACATTTATATAATTTATCTACAGCACTTTTATGTTAGAAAGATTTATTTGGAAAAAAAGGAAGCACTTTAGAGTTTCTCTTAGTCTCCCAGATTTACATTCCAATTATACAAGGGTGGGCAAAAGTAGGCTTACAATTGTCCGTATAGGAAATAATACAGCCTGCCAGCATGCTTCAGTGGTTGAGCATTGACCTATGAACCAGGAGGTCACAGTTTGATTCCCAGGCAGGGCACATGCCCAGGTTGCTGGCTCAATCCCTGGTGTGGGATGTGCAGGAGGCAGCCAATCAATGATTCTCTCTCATCATTGATGTTTTTATTTCTCTCTCTCCCTCCTCCTTTCTCTATGAAATCAATAATAATACAATAATTAATTCCGTGTTTCACATACAAACAACTGTAAACCTACTTTTCCCCACCCCTGTATGGTCTAAAAGCTAACGGAATAAATCATCTGAGTTTTTAAAAACACAAGCCCCTCAGCATAAAAGTAATCATGATAAAGACTGATTTAAAAAATCAGAGACATTCTAACCCCCCTTACAACTATTTGGTTTGTTTTTCATGAGCCACCCCACCCCCTACATCTCTGGGAAGATAGAGAGTTCCCCATGCAAGCAAATGAGCACTCTTTCAGGGTCTGTTGTTAAGGGAAAGTGTTGGAAAGAATTGAGAAGACAGACTGGACATCAGAGAGCTGCCTCTGGTGAATATGGGAATAACAACATTTGTGGGCTATTCAGGCTGGAATTTTAATGAATCCATTCAATCCTCCCCTCCCCCAAGATGGTAGTTCTTCCTCTACTTCCATTATCCAACCCTGAGAGTCAAAGTATTATGTGACTGCTAGAGGCCCGGTGTACAAAATTCGTGCACGGGCGGTGGGGTTTGTCCCCTCAGCCCAGCCTGTACCCTCTCCAAACCAGGACCCCTTAGGGGATGTCCAACTGCCGGTTTAGGCCCGATCCCGGGGATTGGGCCTAAACCAGCAGTCGGACATCCCTCTCACAATCCTGGACCGCTGGTTCCTAATTGCTCACCTGCCTGCCTGCCTGGTTGCCCCTAAATGCCACCCCCTGCCAGGCTGATTGTCCCTCATTCCCTCTGAGTGTTGGCCTGATCACCCCTAACTGCCCCCCCTGCCAGCCTGGTCACCCCTTACTGCCCCCCTGCTGGCCTGGTCACCCCCAACTGCCCCCCTCTGCCAGCCTAATCACCCCCATCTTCCCGGTCACTTCTTACTGCCCCCCCTGCTGGCCTGGTTGCCCCATGCAGCCTGTTGTTCAGTCGTTTGGTCGTCCCTCACTCACCCCCTGGTCGTAGGCAGCCATCTTGTGAGGGAATGAGGGTTGATTTGCATATTACCTCTTTATTATATAGGATTAGCTTGCCCATCTCTTTAGAAATCTGGAAATTGAGGATTCTCTTTCTAAAACAGTGCTTCTCCAAGGGTGGTCTAAAGACCCCTACATCAGAATTACTCCCAGGTGCCTGTTAAAAATGCACATTTTTGTCCTCGTCGGTTTGTCTCAGTGGTTAGCTGGCTCACAGACCTAAGGGTCTCAGGTTCAATTCCCTATCAAGGGCACATACCTTGGTTGCAGGTTCAACCCCCGACCCCTGGCCAGGGGTGCGAGTAGGAGGCAACCAAACAATGTGTCTCTCTCATGTCATTGTCTCTCTCTCTCTCTCTCTCTCTCTCTCTCTCTCTCTCTCTCTATCTCTCTCTTTTTCTTCCTCTCTATCCCTCTTCTCCACTCCCTTCCACTCTCAAGTGAGGGTTAAAAACAAACAAACAAACAAAAAAACAAATAAAGCAAATTTCTGAGCCTTCTTGCAACCCTACCAAATCAGAATATGGTTACTGGTAACAGGGTGCAGATGTGCCTTGCAGTAGGCTCTCCCGGATGATTAATATCAACAAAATTTAAAAGCAGATGAGCACCCCAACACTTGCTATACAATAAAGTCTGATAAGATCTGCTGTGGTTGAGAACTATCTATGTGTACATCTTGTGCTAAGGGCTTTATATTCATTATTTCATTGAATTCTCTCAAGAACCATATGGGGGTAAATTCTATTACTATCCCATTTCACAGGTAAGGAAGCTGAGTGCCTAAGAGTTCAAAGACTGCCCAAGACCATAACAACTCATAAGTGGAGTGCCAGTATCTTAACCTGGTTCTGCCCTTTCTAAAGCCCAAGCTTTAACTGCTAGACTACATAAAGCTAGGAATGGACAGAGTGGTTTATGTCAGGCTAGCTATGTGCTCGGTTTTGTGTCAGGGAAGACGGGCATATGCCTTCATGGAGGTGACATCCAATTAGGAAAAATTCAAGAAATAAATACACAAGCCAGTAGTTCATTGCAATTATGTTAGCAATCTTGTAGCCACTGACTAATAAAGGCAGCTGAGATCAAATGATGCAGATCTGACTTAGTTGCACCTCAGATTCCACATGGCTGCAGTGGCTTAAACATTCTCCTCTGCATAACTGCCTCTGTAAACTGCAGCAACTTTCTTCCCATCTGCATTAATTATTCCTGAATTATGTGGGATGGTCCAAAGGGAATAGACTTAAAACCGGGCCTTTGTTTAAAAACTTCTCTAAGCTCTGAAAAGTCAGTGATTGAAAATTAAAGCTTCAATTAATTGACCCCCTTTTGCAGGTCAATTTTGCTTTTCACCAGGGTGTTATCTGTTTCTTAAATGCCATAAATGATTATATAGAAGTGTTCTTTTACTAAAATTAAAATTTACAGAAGAGTTGTTAAATATTGTGCTCATTCCAATATATTTTAAATTACTCAAAAAGGAAAAAGGTTCTCTCCATTTTTGTTTCCTAATTTAAGAATGTAAAATATATATGTACATGTGTGCATGTATACCAGGTATACATATATATACACACACTCACACCATTGTAATAATTCATAATCTAGGTTTAAAATACATATGTATGAGAAACTAAAGCAATTCTGCTTCTACACAATAATAATTTCTTACTATAGGAGAGTGTTAAGGGTTGGTGAGGTTTGCAGTGATAAATCTATTATGGGATAAAATAGATAGAAATATAAAATAAGTTTAACAAAATTAGGATGACATCACTAATTGCACTTGAGACTTCTATTAATTTCACATTTGTTTACCTTTATGTGGAAAAGAGAGAACCATCATGGGAGGCACACATTCACATACTCAGGATTTATAGTCAGATGGAAAAAAGTTCAAAACCAAATGCATCACTCTTCCTCTGGCTTGTCTGATGACCTTGAACAAGTTACTTAACTCCTTTGAGCTCCCTTCAAGGGGATTTTATTAAAATAAAGAGATAACACATAACTAACTGTAAGTTCCCTTTCTTTTTATTCTCCTTTTATTTGTAATAAAAGTAAATTACCCTTAAAAATAAAATTTTAACAATAAAATTGTATAGTGTAAACATTATATTTTATCTTTATTGACATTGTTTTAAAAATTTCAGTATTTACCAAGTATGGATTTGCTATTTCATGGCAAAATGTAGAGCTAAAGACTATTTTTGAAAAATGCTATAATAACTTTAATGTAAAGATTTTAAATCCATTTTCTTATTACAGGGAAATTTACCAAGTAAGTAAAAAGGTCTCCCTGCATACTTTTTTTAAAATTTTTATTTTTGCATACTTTTCATTGCTGTTTTATTCAGAGACCTAAAAAAACTTCCAAATTTTTAGACTACTAACAAGATTTTTGCTATTTAAGTGCTTGTTATAACTAGCAAATTGTTACTTATAAATGTTAATTCAGTTACAGATTTCATTTTATGTAGTATCATTGTATAGAGAGAAATTTAGAATTTTTTATTTTTTATTCTTATAGAACAATTTAAAAATGTTGTAGCTTGGCCTTAAGAATCTATTGTGCTCATATAAATGATTTGTTCAAGTCTAAGTATTTGGTCAGCTCAAATCATTTTAATGAGAACATATGATTTGATTTGTAGTGATGTTTCCAGCCACATTTTTTAAAAATATATTTTATTGATTTCAGAGAGGAAGAAAGAGGGAGAGAGAGAGAGAGAGAGAGAGAGAGAGAGAGAGAGAGAGAG